CATCTACCCACAGAGCCTAGCCAGCAGTCAAAGTGTTGCTTTTTGGTGAGAGGCGAGCGCTACATACTAGCCACCTGTCATGCCTGTATAATCACTCATTCTACACTACCACTTTGATATTAGATTTCACTGATGAGGCTTTATTGTTAGTTACTTTTCCAGAGATTGCAGTGATTGCTACATTGATTTTTTATTTGCCATTATCAGGCAAACACCACTCGACGTTCCTGTCCATGCCATTAAGCATGGTTATCTTCCGTGCATTCACGCGATACTTGAAGGGCACCAGCTTATTCAGGCCTTTCCGGAAGTTGCGCATTCTCATTCCGTTGAAATGCGTCACTTCACTGAGCTTCGGGACGTGGTCCATGGCTGGTATCCCGATGCCACCGCCCATGATGTCTGCACGGAGGTAGGCCAGGAACCAGTGAGTGTTATTGTAGTACTCTCTGTGATTGTTTACGTCCTCAGAGAGCTTGTGGCTGAGGCCAGTGTCCTCCCGACACATACCCAGGATCCTGAAAATCTCCACCCGGGGTACGTTTTGAACATCTGCCCCAGGGGTGTGCATAATCCAGTTCAAAGTCTGCGTTATGATCATAGATTGCTTGTTGTCGGTGTTCAGGAGAGGTTTAAATGTCGTCAAGATTCTGCTGAGACCAATCAAGTCCTGAAGATTGGATGTAAAGATGCGGTCGTACTTGGGCATGCTCAGGGTGAGATGGTAGTTAGGAAAGTCCAGACAGTTAGCCAGGAATATGCCCACCTGCAATCTCTTCTCCTTGATGATGTTGATGGACTGTTGTAGGATGTGAGTCACATAGGCATGGTACCTCTCCATCACATTCAAGTGGCATTGGCCAGTAAACTCGGCAACTCTCAAACAGTCCCAGACTATGAAAGGAGTGGAGTCGGTGTTTACATTGTATACAAAAGGATAGTCTCTGGGTGACTTCATATCAGGATTAAGTGTCTGTTTGTACTCATACTTCGTTGATGGTCTGCCAGTCAGCGTTGGATTGTCAAAAGGAAGGCTGCCAGGGTCAGCACTATTAGGAAGAAATAAGCCGTGTTTGAACCATTGTCTCATGAAGTTGGCATCGGCCTGTGGCATCCGATTCAGATACTTGGGCAGCCCAATCTTAGCCCCACTGTCCTTGTCGAAGATTCTTTTTCTCTATTGGTGGAGGTTGATGGAGGCCCTGGCTCTACGTTGGCATTGCAACACCAGCCACCCCTCCCATACCTCGCGCAGGTACCTAAAGTCAGCCTCCTGGACGCTCACCAGACCCAGAGTGAGAGTGGAGAGACCTCCAGCATCCGTCCCAGTGAGCTCCTCTAGTGTCTCCTTGATGAGGTTGTAGTCGCCGCGCGAGAGGTGAACTGAATACCAGATGGTAGCCAAAGAAGACGCGATGCCATCCCTTGCTGCCAGCCGCACCATCATGACAAGGAACATCACATTCCTGGCCATCACAAAAGGATCAAAGTCATCCAGAGTGACATGCAAGGTTCCCTGATACCGAGCAGGCAAGGATGCAACGGTCAACAATGTACTCCGTAAATCTCCACAGCCGGCTGACAAGACGCAGTAATCTCTTTTCAGCTCTTCTTCTCCAACAGCAACCAACTCTGACCACTCATTCCCCTCAAGTTGCAAGAAGTCCACAGCGATGGTGTTGCCGATGTAAGCTGGAGGGTCATCTGTCTTGTGGAGTTCACCTCCTATGTCGGAGTGCCACTTTCCCATTCTTGGCCCAGTTGCTTTTATGTATTCGGTGATCTGCTTGCAATCTATCTTGTGTATGGGCCAATGCTGCTGTTGACACGCTGCGTTGCAGTACCAGGCATTGCTGCAAGCTGCACACTGCCAAAATATTGAATAAAGACAACTTCATTTTTTTTTTAAACACAATTACCATGTACTTGGCTAACTGCATGGTTTAATCAATAAGGTTCATATATATGTATACATATACATATTCAGCTCAAGAAAAACCTGGGTGGTTACATGACCATAATTCCAAGCTGTTCTGGCCAGCACACTTTATTATTAGTACGTGTAGTGTGCATTTCACATCGGCGTGTCCGTGTGTATATGAAGATTTCTTGAAATAACAATAACCACTCAGATTTTCAAGCAGCATTATCCACCATTTGTAATGGTATCTAATTGCAGCAAATTCATTCATGGTGCAAGAAAGGAAATATCTCATGAGGTCAGAGTCTTTGTACATATGAATGTGATCAGATCAATTTCTTTGTAAATTTTTTTTTGTCAGAAGATTCGCACTGCTCTTTGTTTCGATGTATCCCCTCAGTCTGGCATCCTGAGGAAAATCGACATTACATGTATGTACGGGAAACTGTTAAACTCAAATGCCCCATCATTTTAGTCATTAGGACCCTAATTAGTTACCCTTTCAGGCTTTAATGCAGCAGGCTTGTGAGCTTCCTGAAGATTGGACTAGCCAAATTTTAAATTCCTATGCAAAATGTTTTTCAAGTTATCACCCTGACAAGAGTTCTATTGTTTGTTACCTTAAACTTTGACCTTTTGGTACCAAATTCATTAGGCTTCTTAGGATCACCAATAGCCAATTCACAAACCAAATTTGAAGTTCTTACTTAAAATACTTCTCTTTAAGCTTAATCTGAAACTTTCTGGAACATCTTACTTCATGAAATGTTGACTTTTTAAAATCAATATGTAGTCATCTGTATAGAGGCATTAGCAATAACTGCCGTCCTGATAAATGTTCTTGGTGTTCATTTGTTGTTCTAACACAGTCATGGATAGTGAATTTTAATTGGACGCGAATTGATCCTGTGATATGCCACAAGTGCGCATGTATCATTCACGTGTTGGGTGCACTGGTGATGTTGCCAGGCCACAAAAAATGATGGATAATGGTGATCTTTCCCACAGTTGATGTTTTGTTTCTACTGTGCTGTAATATTGTGTAATGTTTGGTACGAGGGTGGATAGCCACAGTGGTACTACACGCCAATTATTATAGGAGATGTGCACCATGTGGGGGACATTGAAGCACTGTGTCCATTTGAATATGCTACTCTCTTAACTCTGACCATGGCAGAGACCCACGGGTTATTAAGCATCTATTCATGCACCCAGTTGTAATGCTTGTTGAACACAAGTAAGCTCTGATCACTGTTTCTGCTGCAATCGCCATTGCTGTTTATTTAAAATGCTCGTGCCTTTGTCTCTTCTCATCTGCTCTCCAATCTTGTCAATACTTTCAACTGAATTTGGTGTAAAGAATGTCTTGAAATTCAACCAGTCGACAAACCCCCCCAGTGCTTTATGAATCCAAAGTTTCTCTCGTAAACCAGTTTGTTATAAGTCTTAGATTTCTCCCTCTCCCCATAAAAACAAACAAAACCAAAAACAGAGGTCAACAAAGGACATCATAATCAACCATTTTCCTTGTAATTTAATATTTAATTTGCTGTTTAAGTGTTGCAATTTGTCATAGTGTTTTAATTTTTCATGCAATAAAATATGCAAATCCTACACATAAGACCGGTCCAGTGTAATCTGTGGTGTAACAAAACAATTGTTGCCTGCTGTGACATGGTCCATGGGTTTGTACACCAAGGGTCATATGGCACCCTCGGCTTTGCCTCAAGTGCCATTTGCCCCCTTGGGTGTACAAAACACCATGGACCCCAACACTACAGGCAACAGTTATTAATTGTAAAAAATTCCCTAATTTTAAACACACTGGGTACCTCTTTGAGTTTGTCCTGTTTTCCACACTGCTTGCACCGTTTTGTCCCAAAGACCCGACAATCCACGCTGCCATGCCTCACTCTGTCTTGCTGCAGACAGTCTCTGCTGCAGTATTCTGCCAGCGGACACATGCTGCACTTCACTGCCTGCTGTGGCAGTGGTTTCGCACACCGCCAGCAGTGTCCCGTTTTCACATCCATGTTTCACTGCACTATTCTTCAGAAAGGGAGATACCAAGATTTCAGTCAGCGTGCATTAGCTTTAATCAGTATTCAATGAAATGTATTGTTGGCCTGCTCATCAGGCTTTGCCCCAAAATGACTGTGAACTGGTATTTTTTCACCTTGGTCTGGACCCAAGTTTTTTCATTTCTTCCTTTTCTTTAGTTAAAACATTTTATCCTTCGGATTTTTCATAAGCTGTTTGCATAAAAACTCCGTAAGTTTTCATTGATACCGGTAGTTTTTTCAAGACATTTTTAATGTACTTCGTGCAGAATTAACCAGCAAAGCAAGAGAAGGATTTTTCAATATTCGAAAGCTGTGTGCAGTGCTTTCCAGAAACTGGAGAAGTAAGCCTCACATGTTAAAAGTATAACTCAAACTCGGTGTTCACATTAACTACGTGACTACAGTACTCACACACTGATGTCAGATAGTTAGTGTGACTTTTGCTCAAAATTCCACTTGAGTTTGAAGAAGTGATCATTCATACAGCTTTTTACCATCTCCAATCTTGCCACCCATTTTTCAACATATTCACCTACATGTATTCATCAAATAAAACTTGAATGTTATTACTTTCATTTAATCCCAATTTCTGTTATGTTACTTACCTTGGAGGAAGACAATCTAGCTTGTTTATGTCACAGACGATTGCAGACATACAAAGAGTCTACCACTATGTCTGGTGCATTTGCAACATTTATTTCTAGTACTATGCACAATATGACTGAACGTGATTCAGCTAGCATTGTGTTGCATACCTTGGTGTATTTCTCAGGGTTTATTGCTGAGATTTTTCAATGTTCCCAGTCTACTCTCACACTTGAGTGAGTGTGAATAGGTGTATGTGATGGTGTGGGATGTTGGAATTGTTATGGCTGTGTTGGGAGTGGCGAATGACATCCTGAACTTTAATAGACATCACAATCAGTCTGCTGTCAGAAAAGAATGGAAAGAAACTGTGTATGGCTTCCCTAGAGAAGTAAATTGATTGATAAAGTCAGTGCTAACAGATTATCTGAGGGAAGTTTCGGAGCAACCAATGTATAGGCATAGTGAATGTTGACTACATTCTGTGTTAATCTGAATAGAGTGCTCTTGTTCAGCCCAGAGATCAGGTACAGTAGATTTCCAATTAGCAAAACAGTAAATTTGAGATAGAAGCAAGCACCTTTTAACAAAGAATTTGAAGTAATTTCTTTTAATTTACTTTGTAGAAGGGTTCTTGAAGAAGAAACTGTACATGTTGGTTTAAGTTTTAAAGAATGTACATGTGTACATCTGTAGTAAACATTTACAAGCTTAGAAGCATGCAATACTAGGCTAAGTTTATTTCCCTTTCCCGTGTATTGCTCATGAGGGATTTCCCCTTTATATGGAAAAACTTGCTACGTTTGCATTCAGCACATAACCTTTCAACATTGATCTTTCCAGGGAAAGGAAACTGGTACATGTACATTCACACAACTGCTGTGAATCGTAAAAAGGGAAGAAATACACCGAAGTTGACTTTGAAAAGTACTTTATTACTATGAACATTTCAAAATATTGAACATAACAAAGTACAAATACATAACAAAAGGGAATTTTTATTATCTGTATGTACAACATGCATTATTAGTTTTTAAGTCTAAATGTACTGGAATGTTTTACTGAGTAACTTCACACTTTCAAATTAAAAAGATGTATGTCTTTGTTAATAGTGTCTCCATTGGACATGTTCTTTTGCATAGCAAGATCATGGAAAAAGTTAAATATAACGCAGAGCAAACAAAGATTTGTAATATATATTAGAGAGGATTTGGGTATTTGGGTCATCCATTTTGCCCCAATTGTTGTATGAGCACACTAAATGTTGGTAGTGGGGGTACACTTGCAGTGACCATGAGACACAATTGGCCATCAATTTTTGTGCATACTCTGTCAGGGAGGGATTGGGGATGTGTATGTGAATATATTTACAAATAGGTCATTTGGGAGACATTTTATGGTCATTTTTTCAGCATTAGGGAGACATTGGCTTTTAGGGAGACATTTCAGTGTCTCCCTATTTTCAAACTACTAGAAGGAGGCCGAATTTTACCGTCCATATTTTGAGAGATGATAGTTTAGGGCCTAAAATGAAAACATACAAAGTTTGGTTCAGATCAGATTAGGGAATATTGAATTATGGGACAGTAAAGTTGGAAAAATTTTATGCACGCTCTTATGGGAATGTCTCCCTAATGACCCGTTAGCGGTAAATATTATTTCCCTTCACATCATTTCACTTGACTTTGAGACTGAAGCTTCTGATCCATGAATTGTTAACTTTTCCTCAAAAAAAAGCCATTAATACAAAAGGGATCCTTCAAAGGGTGGAATCTGCTTGGCCTAAAATTAAAAATATAACACATTGTAAACAGTTGGTTGGTATGGTTTGATTAATTCTCTTCTGTTCCACTGTTGCAGAATATTGGCAATCTAAAGTTGATTGGAGAAATGAATTGTAAGTTTAAAGTGTAATAATGATTGTCATTCTGGTGATGCCCACACCGGCAGCTACAAGTAACTTTCATCATTTGACACTTCCTCCTCAGATGGAATTGGCCGAGGTGAGGTAGAACGAGCAATTGAGTGTGACGGTGAGGAACTGTACATCTTCTGTCAGAGCGAATACTCCATTGAGGTTCATGATGCCTTCTATGGACGTAGGGAGGAAGGTAAGTGTAGAGATTAATCAACTCGCCCACGTGCATGGGCAGCAGAACAGAATAGAGATATATCTCAAGTCTCTTGCCCTGTAAACATAACCCAGTCTCCATTAATGGACCATGGTGTGCTTGATATAATGTGACATTTCACAAGTCCGTAAGTTCATAAGTCTGAGGGTTTGTTAGTCTGAACACAAAGATTTTCTATTGGATGGAAGTTGATTAACCCATGCAGTAGTTCAGTAGTGCATTAAGTTCATTAGTTTTAAAAGTTTAGTCATTTGATGGCTTTAGAATGAGATTGGGACGAAGGTTCAAAATCACTACTACGTTCAATAGTCTTTAAAAGGCCAGGATTCATTAATCCGATAGTATCCGAGGTCTAAAGCCTGAACTTTGCTGTGACTTCCTTTAAATTTTTAGCAACTGAACATTCTCAGCGATGCAGATTAATTAATTAATCATGTTGTCCATTCACACTATGAAATCTTTGGATTATTTAGCCTTAATCTGTTTTCAGACTGATGATTTTAGCACTATTGAACCATCAGACTGTTGAACTCCATTGACTTTAAACCTTTAGATTGTTGAAACCTTGAAC